CGATGAGCCGAAGGTGGCCGCGGCCTTCGAGGCCGGCCAGGCCGCCTGCCGCGAAGCGGTGGCCGAGGGCTGCGTGCTGCTGGAGTCCCGCATCGCCACCGGGCGTCATGCGTCGGCGTCGCTGAAGTTCCGCGCCAAGCCTGGCGGCATCCAGAAGCTCATCGCCGCGTTGGCCAAGCAAGGCGAGATCGCCTCGCAATCCACCACCGCCGAAGACCTGGCCGCCCCGATGGAAGACGCCGCCAGGAAGCTGGCGATGCTGAGCGACTACCGGTCCAAGCTGGAGGGGCTGCTGGCCAAAGCCGGCAACGATGTCGATTCGCTGATCAAGCTGAACCGGGAGCTGGCGCAGGTCCAAGGCGAGCTGGAAGCCCTGGCCGGCAAGCACGCGCATCTCGTGCAGCGTGTGGAGACCGAGGTGCTCGACGTGGCCATCACGTCCAACCACCGCCAGTCATTCTGGGCGCCCATCGCCGCCTCGGTGGCGGACTTCGGCAGGAACTTGTCCCAGGGCACCTCCACCGCCATCACTGGCATCGCCTTCCTGACGCCCTGGGGCGTGACGATCCTGCTGCTGACCTGGGTCGGGCGGGTGCTGTGGCGGCGCCGCAAGCGCCGACAGGCGCGCGTTTGAGCCGCCTTGCCGTGCGGCAGGTGATCAGCCCTTGGGCTTGATCTCTGCCGGCCGGCCCTTGCCGGACAACTCGCGTGCGAGGGAACTGACGATCACCTCGACGGCCTTGCCACCCAGATCCGTCAGCTTCCAGCTCAGGTAGGGTGTCTCGGTGCCTTTCGGCAACGGCGGGCTGAGCTTTCTCGACACCCGGCCATTGGGCTGCGTGGCTTCATTGCTGCCCGGATGGGCCTGTTCCATCGCCTGCAGATAGCCGATGAGTGCCTTGGCATCGGCCGGTGCAGGCGCATTCGTGCCCACCCTGAGTTCAACGAGACCGGCCGCCTGAAGCTCACCAAGCGTCGTCACTTCGAGCGCGCCGGGGTAGAAGAAGTTCTCGACCCGGCCGTCGTCGCTCAAGCGATAGGAGAACAGGCTTTCCTCGTTGGCTCGCGCATGAAGCAGCAGCTCGATGGCCTTCTCGGACAGCGCGGGAATGGTCTCGGAAAGCGTGCCGACCCCCTGCTTGATCGCCTCCCGTTGAATCGTCGATTTCAACGACACCCCGAAGGCCCCGATCTCATCGGCCGCGCGGACCTTCTCGGGAATGGCATTCAGCGCGTCACGCAGCGGCGAATAGAAGAGCACCAGGAACACGAAGCCGAGCGCGGGCCAGCCTCCGAAGACGATCCTGGCGACCTCCAGCGCGGAGGATGGCGCAGGCTTGTCCGGCCGGGTGGCCTGCGACAGCTTGTCCTCCAGGCCGGCGATCCGCTCGACCAGCCCGCGAAGCGCGATCGCCAGGGAGATGCTCTGAAGCGGATCGCCGTCTCGGCCCAGCTTGTCGCCTTCTGCCTTGTCGTCCATGGCCCGCCCCTGTCGAATCGGTGCCGGATGCTGACGCAAATCGCCCGGCGACGACAGGTGGGCTTGTACCCGGGCTCACGTCGCGCGTGAGGCGTCAGCGCGCAGCCGCGTCTTGCGGGGCTGCGTAGGCCAGCACCTTCAATCCCCGGTCCTGCGACGCATCCCCGAACGCGGCCGGGTTCGCCACGCGCGCCACGAACGCCAGCTCCGGCGCGTGCTCCGCCATCACGCCACGCAGGAAATCCAACCCCAGCTTCGGCGTGTTCAGGCACAGCAGCGCCAGCCCGCCCGGCGCCAGCAGCGCGGGCAGCCGCCGCGCCAGCCGCGCGTAGTCCTTGGTGGCGACGAAGCTGCCCTTCTGGAAGCTCGGCGGGTCGCAGATGACGAGGTCGTAGG